ATGTAAGTATTCTTCAAAGGCTTGAAAGGGAAGTTAAAGGACATGAGGATTATATTTATTTGGTTTAGTAATACTGCACAAAACCTTCAAATGCCAGAAAATTCTTACAATTTGTCAATACAGTTTAAGTGGCAGCTCATAGGCCTGTCTTTGGAAAACTGGCCTTTGCTATGAATATTTCTGTGTTTGCAATCTATATTCTATTAGGAGACCATTATTCAAATAGGTTAAAAATGTGTGTCAGTGTGATGAAAGGTTGAGCAGGMCACACAATTTCCTCTTCATTATTTTGCAGAGAAATGTTCAAAAGGGGTACAACTCTTTCTCCCTAGAAATAAAGGGATAATAATCCCTGCAGTTATCTGGGAATGAGTTGCTTGAATTTTGTACCTCAACCAACAATAATGAAATTAAAGCCAAGGGACATTTCCCTTCTCCTGGGTAGCAGTCCTAACCAGTCCCTGAATTTATTATCCAGAAAATAAATAACATATGAAACTATTGCTTCAGGGTACTAACTCAGGGTTCCGGGGACTCCTTCCAGTTGCCTTTGTGCCCATTCTTTAGTCCCCAGTAGGCCTCTTCCAGGTGTGAACAGTATTAGGATTAACCATCTCAATGAAATGCAGTTTCACTCTTTTCTGCAACTCYTAATGTCAGTGTCTTGGGACTGGCAAGTCCAGCTTCTGCCTCTCAACAGAAGAGCCAAACATCTTGCTGTCGCTCAGCCTCAAGGACAGAAAGAAGAATCTCTGTATTCTATTCCTTAAAAGTAAACTTTAATTGAGATAAAATTCCTGAAAATCAGCACTTCAGTTTTTCCACACAGCTCTTTCACTAAGAAAGATAACAATATCTTTGTAGTTGGGAAAAGGTGTATGGGGTAAAAGAGGAGAAAAAGGCTCAATGGGCTTTAGAAAAAGAGCACATAAGATCAAGATAAATCAAGATAAAAATGTAGTCATAATGGAAAGAATTTATTTTTTGGGAAGGCGTATTTTAGTAAGAAAAGCAACTGGTAATAAAACATTTCAACCAGCCCCACTTCAGATTACCTATTTTCAACTTGACAAAAATCTSTTCTCACTTCTGTTATTTAATGGAAGTAGAGAACCACCTGTACCAGGAAAAATAGAATTTGAACAGAAAGAGTTTTCAGAGAAGTGAGACGGAACTCAGAACACAGTCCTGTAARGTCTCATCACATTCCCATGTCCTCATGTGTGGAGAAGGATGGATCTGCCAGACCTGCACCCCAAGGGACACCGGGGTCCTCCTGGGAGCTCTGCAGAGCGAGCACATTGCCTTCACATGTACCTTTAGCTGCACTTTTTATTTCACTTGTTTTGAGACAATTTTGCATGATAATTTTTCTAGTCACTTCAAATACATCAGCTTAGCGCAGCAGAGCAAACCTGTGCCTATTCTCTGTATTTCCTTACTTGTCTACCATTCTGTCATGTATCCATATGTGGATAATTKTACATGGAGTAGTAGGTAGACTTTCCAATTTAATAAATATTAATGTATTCAAAGTTGAGATCTAAGAAGAAAGCTGATTTTTTTTTTCACTAATAATTTCTGATATGCTTCATTTGTCTGAAAGGCAAGCTCATTTTGATGAAACCAACTTCATAAAAGGAAATTTTCTGTAAATCACAGCCCTGTTTGGTCATTCTTTATATTAAAGAGGTGGCAGAAATTGTTTAACAACAGTGAAAAAAAATCAAAAGATGCCAACCTTTTCCCCTCACTATGTTTCCATGGTACCACGCTCATATAATACACAGTGACATGTGGCCCTGGAGGAACCTGCAGTCTTCCTGGACTGGCACCAAAAGTCTAACGTTCAGTTAATTCAGTATTACACAATGTAACAAATACAGGGTGACTTTTGTTTTATTTTGGCTTTTAATTTTTTTTTTCCTTCACTGTGAAAATACTCTGACATTCCTATGACATATTTATTGACAACATTCAGGAATTCAGTGCTAATTAATGCTGGATTGCTTAGGACCGTAGACAATGGAAATTAAGTATCTTCTGTACTTGTGTATACATAATTTTGGCTTTYTGTTTTGTTACACTTCATGTAACTCAGGCAGCCACACTTTAAAAAATTTCCCTTATGCAAATAATTGTTAAGCATTTATTTATGACTCTTTAGCAGTAGCCAAGAGGCATGTATAACTTCCCTTTCTCAATGTGATTTTTCACAGAAATGGTTTTACTTCCTGAGATTCAAGTATCAGGAATGACTGTTTATCTCAAATGTGGTCTGGATGGAATGGATGGATGGAAGACTGAGCAATTCCCAAGGCATAAMTCAATCCATCACAAACAGTACTCTTTGCAGGCCTAGATAAGTAAATGGTATAGGTAGCTWAGTTTAGTATGAAAGTTGGTATGAAGCTGGAAACAAAACAAATTTCAGGACTACTCAAGTGTCAGCAGTGTGTAACCATTGAGTGAGACAAAGAAATCCAGAAAGGACAGTTTATTGACACAAATAAGTAAACATAGAAATGAAACCCTGGAAGATAAATGAACACACAAAGTGGCAATAAACAAACTGTACACCAGATGAGCAGCCAGAGGAATAAATAAGTAAAACCAAAATAAGTGCCAACAAGCAAGACAGATGCAAAAACTCACAAACATCTGTTAAAAAAAGAGAAAGGGGGGAAAAAAAAAGGACAAGTATTAAATGCAAGTGAAATCCCCACTGTGTAAAATTTCGGGGTTCTATCCAAAAATGCACTGATTTCTGTGAATTTCATMATTGAATTTTATTTGTGCAGCCTGTATAGATAGACACCAGCTGGTGGAGACTTTAGGTTATTGTGTATTTCTTTTCTTTTGTTTATTTTCTTGAAAGAGCAAGGGCTTTTTTTCCTGAGGTGCGTGGGCATATTCACTGCTGTGTATGTTGCAGATGCCCATGAAGTCAAGAACTTGTGATCCTGCCCCCAGCCATGCCTTAGGGACCTGTATTTGCAAAGGCTGTACAGTGTAAGATTCAGCTTTTGGTGGAAAAAACYTCTTACTTAGAGATTGCTGGAAATACCTATATATCTAATATAAAATGTCTTTAATAAATTAATTTTGAAACCTTCTGCTTTAGTTTTGGTTTTCTTCTCTCTAGTTAGTCTCTGTTATTAAAGCTTCAGTGCTGGATAGTTGGGTTTTTTTTTTTCCTGGACTTTTTGGGCTATAGTGGTCATTATGGAAGAAAAAAAGGTATTTTAAAATCAAGTATTAAAATACTCCTTTTCTTTGCCATAGAGAAAACCAACAGTTTCAAAAATGTAGTTGTGGAGAATTCTTATACTTCCCACCTGTTTTTTTTCTTTCTCTACACTTAATCAGAAATGGTTGTACTGTTTTGTATTGGAAGTTTTGAGCTTCTCTTCATCATGCAATGTGGATAGCATTCATCTCTGGTGGAATGTCTATTCATTTKCYAAGGACTCTTGTGTAGAAGAGCTGTGATATCTGTAAACATTGGGTGAAACCCCCTGTTCTGGTATCAAAGAGCAAGGTGAAAGTACAGTCAAAACCTGGATTCGAGCTCATTTTGGGTTCCAGTGTTGCTCTGTAAACCACACTTTTAGAAAGCAGAAGTGCATAGATAAAATTCATAGAGAATGGTCGCTACTGGAACACAGATGAGCAGGAAATCATGGGATAATTTATTGTTATGGAAGAAGAACTGRAAATGCTGAAGTTCTYTGCCTTGGCAGGTTATCCTATGATCATGCTGCCCAGAAAAAAACTTGATAAAAAAAGACTTATCAGGATGTGAAAGACTTGTTTAGAAAACAATGTCCACACAGAAGTTACACGGACACCAGATSTTTCAGATCATTTTCATCTTCTCTGTACGAAACTCATTTTGGTTGCTTTGCTGGTCATTCTACACAATAAGGAAGAAAAGATTCTTCAATAGTTTGAGTGTTGCTCAGTCATGAGAGGCACGAGTTCACTGATCTYTGCCCGTGCCTTGCACGATGCTGGAGCCACTTGTGTAAAGGAGGACAATGCCATGATAAAAAACATTGTCCCATCTCTCAGGATCTGCTTCTTACTGGCCTCTTTCTTTCCTGATGTGGCTGAAACCCAGCTTTTTGCTGCACAGGGGTTGGTTTGTGATGGTCATCCTGTGATGCTCACACCTCTGCACCTGGGCTGTGCCTCGTGCACCGTCAGCAAAGCACCCCWGCTTTTGCAGTGGGGGATTCTCTAAGCCATTAACCCTTAACATTTCAGGTACTCACAAGTGTTAATGTTTTGTCTTTAAGACAGCTGCACTGTACATAAATCATCAAACTTATTGCAATGCACTTTGTATTAGGGAAAATAATTSATTTGTTTTGTTTAATTTTAAGGTGTAAGGGAACCATGTTGGAGAGACTTCATTAGAGTCAGTGAGGAGATGGCAGAGTATTTTACAGTCCTGACAAGTTAATGAATCAACAGCTTTGTACCAAAATTTCAGAAAAAGTAAATGCACTTGCAGTCTAAAAGCACACTCTATATTCAGTAAAATTGTGGATTATTCATACTTATTACAGAAGCCAAGTCATTAATATTGAATGAGTAAAAAATATTCAAGGTACTTCTTGAAATTTAAACAGTGCAGAATAATTTCTACAGTTAAATTCATGTCTGTGATTCCCATGATCCCTAATTCTTGACACTTGAGAGCAAATTTAGCAGTTTGAAATCATATTYGGGTAGTGTGTATTGAATAGTATTTAACATAGGAAAAAGTGATATTTAAAYTGAATTTTGTAAAGCACAAGCATTGTAACAGGCCTGTGAATTAAGGAGTGTGGATCATGCAAGAATGACAGTCACCTTAATACTGTGCTTTAATAAACATTACTGTGGAAGTGTTATACTGACAAAAGTGAAGRTTTTATTAAAAAATGTCAACCTTTATTAAATGGCACAGAGAGAGAATTTTCTAATATTTTGTTTTGGCTTTTGTCTTCCAGAGTATCAGGGCTTCAGGACTGGTGCTGTTGGAAACCATTCTTTTTGGATCACTTCTTCTGTACTTCCCAGTAAGTCAAASTATAACTTTTTAAAAAAATTATATCTCTGCTGACATTTTAAAACATTGTATGAATGACACTGATGAAAATATATATGTCAAAACTATTTATTAATTACTATTTTAATCTGACTGCAAAATGTTCTGTAAATATTCTTAAAAACACTCAAAAATACTTAAAAATGTTTTACTATATTTGTAATAATTCTCCATTTGTAATTTAGTAAAATTGCCAGTGGTTTAATTGGAAGTTTTTGGGTGTTGTGGGTTAAGCTGAGTTTTTGCTTTGAAAGACAATTCCTCTCTAATCTGTGCAATGGGGAAAAAAAAMCAAGGTATGTAAAAGGAAGATACTGATTATACCAAGTATTTCTCTGAAATGTAGTACAAAGGAGATTGGTTATTTCAGTGCATTACTGGCATACATTTTGATATTTGTGAAGGTATGTGGTATCTCCAATACCCTGGCTTTGGGAAAATTTGATTGGCAATTACCTTTACCCTGTAAGTGGAAAAAAATAAATTTACAGTTGCTTGAGAAATATATCACAAAACTCACAGAAGTATGTGTCCATTCTCTTTTGAAAAGTCCCAGAAAAGCTGAGTTCCTTAATTGCCTCATAAACCCAAAACAATGACTAGATTAAGCAAGACATCAAAGTTTAAATTGAACAAAGCTGATAGAAAGCATGCAGGTCATCAGACAATCGAAGATGGAATTGTGGACTGTTTTAAAATATGTTTATGTTGTCTTTCCCTCAGTAGTCAGAATTCTCTGTGCATTTAAAGACCATCATGTAGTTACTGAAAGATGAGCTGGATAACAAAACTCTTCAGTAGCTGAAAAACAAGTAGGAAATAAACTGCAGTAGAATGTGTGAAGAATACTGCAATAAACACAAATCCTGATGGAATTTTAATACATTATTTTTTAAATTGTGTGGGCCTTTCAAGTTCTAAAGAAAAAGTGTGTGCTTTTGTAGGATAGTTTTATTTATTTTTTCATATTTCACTTCGCAGATATCAGGGAAACAAAAGTTTGCATTTTTTTCATATTGTACAAGTATTTGTTACAACTTGCAATAAATATATCTCCCATGGGTTTTCAGAGCTTCTTTCATATTTCTTTCCGGTGAAYAGAACAGAAAGCCCACGCACTGCTTCTTCAACTGGTGCTGTGGAACATTTGCAGAAATTCATAACAAGACATTGGTTTCCTTTCCACAGCTGTCTCCTCTTTGCTTTCTCAGAGAGCCCTGGGRTCAGGTAGCGGCTTCCCCAGGCAGATGCTCAGTTAGAACCAGTCAGTGTCTGTACAGCCTCAGCTCCAAAGTGTGCCAGAGCCATCATCACAGCTCATCAGAGCCGTGTGCTCTCCTGTCACCCATTCTTCAGTTCATTTCCCTGTTGTTGCCTTGGTCCTCCATTTGCTGTTTTCCACAAAGGACGAACATCCTTTGGTGGCTTTGTCTCTTCAGGCTTTAGTGCTCAGCACCAGGGATACTGAGATACTGCTTGAGGAAAAAGGCTTCTCCCAGCARTTACTTGAAGGACTGTGCTGTTGGAAGCAAGAACTGGTGGCCACCCACAACCTTTAAATGCAGTGGGAGAAGAAAGGAAGTGGTTCTGGGAGGGAGCAGTTCAATAACCCAAGCATCCCCTCAGCTCTTCACTGACATTKAAGCATTTTCCCCTATTTTTTCCCACTGGCATTAAGGTTGTTTAAAGGTACAGTAAGTGCAAAATGATGTATTTGATATATTATGAGGACAAAAATTTTTGCTGAAAATTCCTGAATAGTCTGTGTCCCAAATGGGTTGTAGATACTTTACCAGAGATTATCTTTCTCTGCACATCTCAAACTTCTACTATGTAAAACTGTCCACTGAGAACACATTCTGTTAGAAATGAATAGGAAAAGTGTATGACTTGGCTTCTCTCTTCTCGCAGTTTTATGTTCCCACACKCTTTGTTGGGGCACTCTTCCTTTCTTACACAGAAAATTACTTATCAGGCTGCTACTCCTACAGGCTGAAACAAACAAAAAAAAACCAACAAAACAATTAAAAAAATATCTGTCATTTCTATTTTGAGGGATTTTGGGGAGGGATGTAGCCAATGTGATAGTGGGAGGTCATATTAATGTTCAGACAGAAATTAATCCTGATTTTATCTGTCAGAAAAATATGGTTTTGTAAAATCAAAGAAAATCAGAAAGATCAGCTTTTCAATATCCCTGTCCCTCAAATCAYTGTAAGAAAGTTTTCATCAATTTCTGATTCAGGGCAAGACAGTGAAACAGTAAATGTGTGAAAGCCATAAAGCATAGTCTTTTTAAGAAAGAAAAGCTGCAAGGTGTGAATTAGGAGAGGTGAGTCCTTGGAATGTGAACTCGATGTTTTGCTGTACATGGACAGAATCTAAATGTGCTCACCTGCTGGTTGTTTGGGAAAGGAGTACAAAGCAGAACAGAATGACATGAGAAAGAAAACCCAAATTCTAAACAGTCTTGTTTGCACCAGCTGACATTYATGCACATATTCGTTTATAACAGAGTGCAGAGCATATATTATCAATTTACATGTTGACCATAAGTCATGAACCTTCAACACAGATTTTGTTTTTCCTAGATCATAACCATTGTTTTATTTACTTCTTCATATTATTTAGTGTTTTTATTTGCTCCAAGAAGAATTGGGAATATTTTGTGACTTAGAGATGTKGTTGAAGGCTCAGTAATTTGTGCTCAGAGGTCATCTTTTTGGTTTGGTCCTCATTTTATGCAAGAGGAGTGCATTAGAACTCTAAGGCTAGTTCATATARATCTCACATCTTATACACCCAAATTTCTGCTTTCCACAGATAGGATGAAATGCAGATTAATACGGAATGGAGTTCACAAGCATCATTGCAGTAGGATGTTGTTCTTGGACATAAGGCTGTTGTCCTTTTGGATCACCTCCTGTTCYATTGTGATTTGGAATGTAAAACTGGAAAGCTTTACTTTCACACTCAACCAAGTGTGGAATTACACAGCTTGGCTTAGTGCATGTARCAATGTAAAGTAACAGAGTGACAGCATTTCAGTTCTAATTAACTGAAATCTCTATTCATTTGAGGATTCCGTGCAAAATTACATTCTTACTTATAAAACAAAATCCCTTTAGATTTTCTCAACRCTGCTTTAAATATTTGTCATCTTTGTTCTCCACTCTTCTACACTCCCCTAATTCTCGCTTTTTCTAGATCTGTTTACTCAGTCTGTCTCAGATTGTTTTGAGGGCCTTCAGCATACAAATTTCTGTGTGTCTGTAAGGGGTTTATTGCTCTTTGACTTTCCCTACCCTCCAATTAAATGGAAACCAAAACCTACTTTGTTGCATTGCTGAATTTCTTTCACTAATTGTTGTTGTTTTCATGCTTACTTGCAGTAATCTATTCATAGTGTAACACCATTAATTGAAAAATAATATCACCAGTCAGCTGCTTTTGGTGAGAAAAGCAGCTGTTACAATGCCCTTCTAACCAAGTGGGAAGTTCAAATGATGGTCTCCACCTAAATTTATTATTCAAGTTCTGCTATACTGATAATAACAATGCTCTTTCCTGAATTATAAGCAGGCAGATGAGCTTTGTCTATTACAATTGCATAGATTTTATTCAGAAGTTGCTGGGCAGCTCACGTTTCTGAAGCTCTCATTTCTTGTATTTTCTGTAGTCTCATAGTAAAATCTCTAMTTTCCCTTTCCTTAGTCTTTCCAATTATCAATGGATCTCCTCCAAAGGAACACTAGGGTTTCTAATTGATTTTGTGTATATTTCTTTTTTCTTAGATTTTGAACAGAAAGCCAAAACCCAACTATCTTATGGATGAGTCCTTTAATTTCTGTACTTGGCATCTGAGGGGAGGATTTTCATTACTTTCCTCTTCCAGAAATGCTAACTATTTTGAAACTTTTAGACCTTTCTTAACTCCCTGTCTTACTAATGCTTGGAACACACTACAACAAGTTTAAAGACACTTTACTTGCTACAAAATCCTTCAAATAAAGTGAGCAKTAGCCCAGTGTTGTAAGAGGGTAGCTTCTTGCGTTAGGGGTCAGACTCCATGGGATTTTAGACATCTGTAATGGACACAAGTTGAAAACCAGGAGATTCTGGTACAATATCAGGAAACTTTCTTTCACTTTGAGGGTTCAGTTACCAGAACATTTTGTCCAGAGTCCATGAAATATCCATCTTTGGAGGTGTCAGGACTTGACTGGGCCCAACTCTGAGCAATCTGACCTGGTACACCTGTTTTGTAATGGGAACTGCACTAGATGACCTCTGAAGCTCCCTTGCGAATGAAATTATTCTGTGAGTCTGTTTCTTACATATGAATCCATAGCTGAGACAGTCACCCCATGCTCAAAAAATCCTGAAGAGGAACTGAGCTTTTTATGACTTGTTTTAGGCCTGGAACTTGAAGTGCATTATGGCCAACACTTCTTAGACTGTAAGTGAATTTTGAGGTACTTGTCTCAAATGGTGATGGATTCTGCCCAGGGCAACTAGGATTATCTGATATATTAATTAATTCCCATACTGCTAGTCTTTGTCAGCTGAAACTTCAAAATGCATRCAGTGGATTGCATGATACAATGATATGATATAATTTCTACAGTCAGTGATACAAGGTAGTGAGTATCATGATGCAAAGACCAAGGGAATAATTTCTTCTCCATGTTCTTGATATGGCAGATAAGAAGTACTAGGTTTAAATTCCAGCAAGTGAAAGTTGTTAGACAGTGAGGCTGAATCTTACAACACTGAGGTCAGCTAGTTCATAAGATGGACTAGCTTTGGAGGCTGCAGAGTATTCTTTTTAAAAACAGGATTTTCTTTCTCTCTTCCCTTGGCTAAAAATTCCAAATTCATTACAACCTTCCCCCATTTTTCCAAACTGCAAATTATAACAAGGTAATATTGTTATCAGTTAAGACAAATTGAGCTATGGGGTGGRGGGCA